GTGATGTGTGCGAAAAGATTGCGTGAAGAATTGATGCCGAAGCATTTGTTACAACTCGATCAACAACCACAAACGAATTCAACGGTAACCTCCACTTTTCTACACTCCCATGTCTACCGTCTTATGACCCCTTAAAACTAAGTCCCCCCTAGCATTAAAACATGAATGTTGTACAAACAACTTCCACCTCGCAAGAGTAAAATTGTATTCATAAAGATTCCGGAGATAGTCACCAACTACGAGGACTTATCAAAGATTCTGTCCTCCTCTGGCTCATTTCGCGCCCGATTCCCCATTTTGCCGCTATACATCTCGGCGTCGACACCTTGGATACGGACTGTTGTGCGGCTGTGCTGTTGTGAGCATGGGTGAGAGTATGTCTGGGAGCCGATAATACACAAAGACCAACTTGGTGACCAGTGTACCACGTCGTAGTGTGGTAGGCATAAATGCTCGTTCGTGTGTATACACTTGTGTGTACTGGAGAAGGCCTGAAAGTCCTTGGTGGATAGACAGTAGACTGCTCAGCTGTGCGGCAACCACAACATCACTATTATACAGGGTAGGCGGGCAACGGCCTCAGGCGGACACATGCCCAGGGTTAGTACTTGAGTGCTAGATAACTGGAGGCACGGCTGCAGAGAAGATGAAAGAGGCTTTACACACGTTTACACGTTTTCAACATTCGCACTTGTTTCTCTGCACTAGCGACTTCTCTTCTCTTCCTTCTCAGTCTCTTCTCGTCTTTCTCAGTTTTCATAAAGAAACCCAACATCCTTGCCAACCAATTTATACAGAACGATCCAAAGGAAACCATCACACCCCCAACCGAGAGAGATAGGTGGCAAAGATTCCTAGGGTCGGTACAATAAGACGCACTCTAAATCATACGGGTATCAGGAGTAAATGTTGGTGCTCATTCGCAAACCAGCCCTGCAAACAGGGAAGGTTCATTTGGATGAAGAGCAATAGCACTTGCTTTGCTGCCCCAAAAAACGGATATGTGTTCTTACACTCAATCTGATGATTAAAACACCATATCAACCCTGTGCACAATGCCCCCCCACTAGCTAAAGAGTTTGCCGAGTTAGCCAAATCTCTCTCGACCGAGGGGTGCCCGGTTTTTCCAAGGTTGACTCCTGTCCCTGCATCTCTTCTTGCACTGTATGACGAATGATGGTCAAGTACGATCGATTCCTTGACCGTTGTTAGGATCAGGGTCCCATGAATATCCCTCCACCAGCCTCCAACTGATCCAGCCTGGAAAACCAGATCTCTCTATTCCACCGCATGAGAGACTTGAACCCTAGGTAGTGACCATTTGAGACTCGATTGGAATACGCGTACCCTGTTTCTGACATACCGTAAGTGTGGTCAGAAAGTCTGCCAAGCACACAGCGTCGTACTGACGTTTTCGTCCTAGGACCAGTAAGGATGTAATCCGGTATACATTAAGATATGCATAAGACTGCATGCATGTATGAATGGTATAGTTGTGTGTGTTGAGTATGATTGAACGTGTTCGTGGTTGAAGGGGCAAACACGTTGGGTGGTATAAAGAAGGTGACACGCAATTACGGGAGAGGGCAATCAAGGGTAGGCTAAGGGACTCTAGTCTGTCTTCTTTCGTTTTGGTACCATAAGAGGCTAATGTATCATATAAGATTTTCTGGCTTTGCTTGTGTATGCACGGCCGAAATCAGACTGATCCGAAGTGTGAACGCAAGATGGTGGCTAACCGTCATTGAGGTGAGTGGGTGAGCTGCGACAGCTTGTTAGAGACGGATTTCTGAGATAAATACACCTCGGAGAAATGCTGACACCTCCTGAAGTTATTTACTCTCTTTCTTCATACTTCGTATCTTATCGATTGCCACTATTTCATTATGTTGACCACAAATGCTACTCACGCGGTTGGAGATTAGACCGACCCCACACTAGGCCGTTTTACCAAATTATGAAATTAGACCGACCCCACACTAGGCCGTTTTACCAAATTATGAATAAACATTTCTATATTCCAGCATTGAATATCGGTGACGGGGAAGAATCGTATCCGCATCCAGCCACTGCAGATAAGCTGGGTCAAAGAAACGCTTGCCAGTCGAAGTACTACAAGAACACGGAGCTCGAGGTGCGAGAACCTGGACACATATTGGCTCGAGCCACAAGTCCTGTAACCTGAACTGAACTGAACTTCAAGGTCGTTGTACGGTTATGTGACCTGACCTTTGCCGCGCGCGGTTGAAAATCTGTCTTGGATCGATAAATTTGCATTTTTACGCTTTATAAGTGTTTTTTTTGTACATCTTTGCTTATATCCTTAATTTTGGCCACCCTAAACTAACTGTATCCCACCTTATTCCATTGCGATTTTTATTTTACTAATACCCCTACTCTTTAGCTATGTATTCTGAGCTCGCTGAGTCCTCCGAAGAGGACACTTTAGCCATGTGGAAAATCCTCATACTACATGAGGTGGCTGAATTTGTGACCTGACCTGACTGATTTTCCGGTGTGCCACTACTGTTGCGCTATCTGCTGCGGTTCGCGGGTTATTTTTCTCTTTAATTATTGAATAATTGAAATGATTCAATAACTTTTCGGAAGGGTAAATATATTTATTAATAGTGTTAATAACTGTGTATTTCACACAGCCCCGTGAGGCATGCATAGGCATAATCAAATGTACAACATATTCCTCCGTACTGGAGAGGCCCAAAAAGGAAAAAAATAAAGCTCGCGGTAAACATAATTCTAAATGGAACACAGAGTGGACAAGGTATCCGATAAAAAAAGGTTGAGGATGGCGGAATGCTCTAAGAGAGCAAGTCGGTGGAATTAGGACGAAAAACAAGAATTGTTATATCGGATGGATGGTGGGATAATTGGAAAACGACAAGCGGTGAGTAAAAGAACAAGAGGCGGCCTGCAGAACGTTGGACGGAAACCGGCACAAGAGCGGATATGGTGAAGCAGAACAGAGTGAAACTGTCATGGAATATAGATGCACTTCACGTTGTGAAACAGATGAGTCAGAACGAGTCTAAACATTTGTATGAAACACAACCCGATGCAGACGGGTATAATACTCGAGTGCATTCGCCGCAGGGGGGCGGTATTTGGAAGCAGCAGGCTATAGGGCCATCCGTCTTCTCTAACGACGCTTGCAGCGTAGGGAACAAACGAAAAGAACTGCAAGAAGAATCGGCGGACGTCGACTGCATAGAAATCACTGAGACGTGGCTAAATAACGAACTCGATGCAGATCCACTTTGCCCACAAGGTTACATCAGCTAAAAATAGGACAGAGAGAACGGCAGAATTGGAGGAGCAGTCCTACTACTAGCAAAGCACCTCCAACAGCAGCAGGAGAGTATGTCTCCTCATGCATCCAAGCCACTTCTGTTGAAATCACTTCTCGTGGCAAGAGTGCGCTTATTCTAAGTGCTTACTAAAGCCCCTCATCAACTGAGGATGAAAACACGAGATTCGTTGACTACTTGCAGCAGTCTTTCTCTACATGTATGAATGCAATACTACTAGGGGATGTAGCAACTAAAACGCGATTGTCGTGGTCAGAAAGAATCGAAAAAGACCTCGTCTGTATGTGTTCAATCAAATGACACTTCGCTCGTTCTGGATAGCAGTAATCAAAACTCAGAGCAGCGAGGAGCCCAAATTATCGATAACCAAGTCGATACAAAAATAATCTAAGGTACTATTTTTGCAATATTCAGCAAATCACCACTGGGAAGTAAGTTTAGGCTAGCTTTATCTGAACTCAAATTTTGTATCTTAACGTCTTGCTTGATCATTGTTTCCGTTTTTCCTTTTCTCTTTGTTGGTCTTTTATTGTATCCGTTTCTCACTCTTAGCTCTGTTTTATTTACCAATAAAGGTTTCAATTGATACATAATCAGTGGTGAAAGTAGCCCGGGTAGCAATCCCAAGACTTTTCAACAGGCCTTCACCCGCCCCCAAGAGAAACAATTAGAGTGAATGTGATAAAACAAAGTGCCGTTCAGGTGCAGTAAAGGAAGGTATACAATGCAACACGTACTGCGTTTGGTATCACATCAAATGCAGTGGGCTATCCGAAGCGTGTTATGGAGTGTATAAAAAGTTCAAGAGCCTAAATTGGGACCGCGTCCCATGTAGGACACGCATGAAGAACCTAGTCCAACTAGAGCAGCGGGTTGAAGGGAAATGTGAAGAAATGAGCAGCGAAAAAGATATCAAAGAAATAGAGGCAACCAAAGAAGCCTCCGGTACTCCCATCAGAAGTGCCACCTTGAGCCCCTGAGAGGATAATAAGAGTGGGTCGTGAACGAAGTCCCCAAATAATATTGCAGTAAACCCTGAATTTGTTCTAACAGCTGGAACTGCTGCTAAACCAGCGGAGAAAAAGAAGAGGAGAAGAAGCCCTAAGGAGCTACTAGGTACGCCTAAAACTAAGAACTCAGGCTATGCGCATTCTCAGGACATAAGGAACCGATCCCCAAAAGTAGTGGTCTCCAAACTAGAAGCCCACCTCGTCGCAGTAGAGCAGGGAAACAGGAGGTCAGAAGTTGAGCTAACCCAACTCAAGAAATTCGGCGACATAGCACTTGGCAGGAATAGAAATGTGGTAATACATGGTATCCCGGGGCCCACAACGAAAGAAGGCAGACACAGGGACCGAGCAATGAGGTACCACATTGTCAACTTGCTAAGAATAGTGGAACTGCCAGAATACATGGCCATTAAGAGAGTCCTGCGCATGGGACGGTGGACAGGGATGGGAACGGAGCAGGGCAAACCCCCCAAGCCTGTCCTTATTGAATTCGCAAACCCCGGACATCGTGACTGGTTCTTAAAATCCTCTGGAAAGATAACTCATGACACAAGAGGTCAGGTGACTATCCGACCGGATGATGCGGCCCACGGGAAAGCCCACGCACTCTCAAGCCCACCCTACTCGCCTGGCTTTAACACAGCGCGAATGGGTCAGCTTCAAGTTAAGGTCCAGCGACTGCGGTCTGCTTTGCAACGGAGCCCCGAGAAGACACCGAGAGATCAGACAGGGCAATGTAGCACCACCTATGGCAGACCCAGTTTAATCACCCCACAGAGCAGTCCACCGGGCAACCTATTTCAGGCAAGAAATAGGAACAGCAACAACAAGACCACAAAAACGGATGGGGAGCTCGGGTTTAAGGCCCGAGCGACCGACTACTCCCATGAGGTGCAGGCGATCAAGGGAGAAGTCGGAACTAGGGGTGTGGTACACAAATGCCACAAGTATAGGAAACAAATGGCCCGAACTAAGAGCACAGACAAGCCAAGATTACGTGATAATAATCACAGAATCATGACTGCGATTCGACATTAGTAACGACGACGACGACATTAGTAACCTGAGCCCACCCAACTATATCCCCAGCGAGTGGATCGCCAGGATGGACGGGCCGAAGGGAGAGTACTGGTGCTCGCAGGTGACCACCACAGCCAACATGAAGGGCGTCACCACAACATCCCGAATGTACAAGCAGTGGAGGTGATTGTACAAACTGTGCAACACCAGCTATCCGTCATCGGTGTCTACAGGAGCTCGTCGTCCACCATAGAGGAGAATCATTTACTGCTAGAGCTGTTACCTGAACAGGCTGGATCTAGTGACCGGGTGTTGTTAGTAGGAGACTTCAACACTCCGGAAATCGATTGGACCACCAAAACGGCTCCACTGGGGACATTCGGGGAAAGGCTACTTGAAATGTTGCATCGTAGGGCCCCGATCCAACACGTGACCGGCGAGACCAGATGGAGGTTCGGGCAAACAGCTTCCACTTTAGACGTGGTGTGCACAAAGTTCCCCAACGAGGTCCGGGGAATTGTTGTAGAAGACCCGTTGGGGAAAAGCGACCACGTGGTTATAAGGATGAGGATTAGAATGGAGGGACTACCTCCTCCTGACAAATTCCGGCGTCAGTGGAGCAAGATAGACACCGAGTGTACGTCAACCAATTCGCACTTGAGTGACGCGTAGCTGAATCGACACGAATCCCGAATTAAAGACGCAATTGATCCGCAATTTTCTATGGTATTGAATTAACAAAATCATTACAAATGTACAATAAAGCAAACCTCAAATGTGCGGCCGAGAGCACTCAAGCAAACGAGCCAAATAAGATGTCCAGAGAGAGGCAATTAGTCGCTCGATTTCTCTGACCACGCAAAATTCAAATGTGCCGGGCATCGAATTAACAGATTAATAATGATGTATGGTGTTTGTGATCGAGAAATGTCAATATAAGAGCAACACACAGATAAAGTTATTTCACCATAAACCATCATGGGTTTGGAAGGATTTTCAAAACATTCAGCATGAAATACAGCAGCGCTATCGAAGCTCGGGAGGTTTTCGCGCCAACTTAATATACAAAGTGGCAAGGCGCGGGGTCACTAGAGTCCAAAACGACTGCAGAGAAAGGTACGAGGAACACTTGGCTGTAAACGTTAAACAAAACCCTAAGTCGTACTTCAACTATGTGCAGTCCAAGAGTACCCTTAGAAAAGAAAGTAGGCGCAATTGTTGACGCAAGGGGGAACCAAACTTGGTCCAAGAGAAGGCGGAATCCCTCCTCAACTACTTCCAGGGGGTTTACAGATCAGACAACGGTAGACCAGAGCCTCCCATCGGGAACCATGAGAGGACTGTCATGCTTGACGTGGTGATCTCTGCAGATGAAGTACATCGGGTCTTAAGGGAGTTCATTCTAACTAAGGCAGCAGGGACAGATTGCGTTCAACTCGCTATCCTGAGACCACTGGCTGACCACTTGGCTGAGTCCCTTACCAGACTACTCAATGCCTCCATTGCAAGGTAGCTGAACACGTGGTAACCGCAGGTGCATTGACGGCTTACCAACATGGGTCCAGAAGGAGGGAGTCGTGCCTGTCAAACTTCCTCTGCTTTCTTGATGAAGTAACTAAGAGGATTGACAGGGGAGGGGAAGTTTAGGTCTGCTACTTAGACTTCCAGAAAGCGTTCGACTCTGTCAATCATAGGCTACGGATGACGAAGTTGAAGGCTTTTTGGCTGTTTCCGAGACTTCAAGAATAGATAGATAGAACCGACGTGACGTGACTTAGCAAGAATCGTATCCGCATCAAGCTACTGCAGATAAGCTGGGTCAAAGGAAC